TATACTGTGCCTTTGGGTTTTTTCTGCCTAGGGTCAATGAAAACTGTTTTATGTGACCAACGAAAACAAATGCTCCAAAAATACAAAGAAGAAAAACAACTACAAAAATTGAAAGAGCAGAGAGAGAAAGCTAAACGAGGAGTGTTTAAAGTGGGTCTTTATAGACCTGATACGCCTGGTTTTCTTTCATCAAACCTGAATACTATGAAAGCTGGGCCGCAAAAGGTAGGATCTTAATGTTACATGAAGGAATAGTTCCTTTTATCTGAAAATTTTTTTAAGAGATCAAATGACTAAAGTAACCCTTCCCTTTATTCTCTTAACTAGTTGGTAGGAGGAGGGAGTGATATATAATAGTAACTCTGAAGATACCTATAGATAAGCTGAGATACATGTATGGTCAGATTAGGAAAGTAGGGTAGAGCCAGGCTGAACAGGGCTAGGCCAGAAGACTTGGGATTTTCCTGTAGGTTATGAGGAGTCGGGAAGTTTATAAACCAGAGTAGTGCCATTATCAAATTAATAAGGAAAAGTCTCATGGCATTAGATTGTCTGCAGAGGAATGTATTCATAGGTAGGGAGACCAGTTGTGAGATTCCTGTAATAGAATAGGTAAGCTGGGATAAGTGGCCTGGGGCAGTGAGTTTTAAAAGGAAGAAATAGATATAAGACATCTTAAGAGAAGCATTTGACAGGACTGGTGACCAGGTAGACAGTGAGGTGAAGGAAATACAAAGGTCCAAGACAGATGATTGTGAAGCTGTTAGTTTGGTTAACTACATTTCTGCCTCTGCTGAAAGAAAAGAAGAGGGAAGGAAAGGCACAGGCTTGAGTAATTGCCTGTTAGTAACCATTAATAACCTTTTTTTTTTAAAGCTTGTTTGGGCCATCTAGCTATCAGGCAACTGGGAATAAAAATTTGGATAGGGGTTGATGCTAAGATGTGGGTTTAGGTTATAAGATTGGGAGTATGGATGGCATTTTAAACTGTACGAGAAATGAGTTGCTCCAATAAGGATACACATGGAGTATGTATGATACGTATAAAGAAGAGCGGGGTCTAGAGACCATTGTTAGATGGGGAGATGTCAGATGCAGGGCCGAGGAATGGTCAGAGTGGCAGGAGAACTCAAACAGAAAATAGACATTAATGTAGAGTAATCTGAAGAGCGTGGTGTAATGAGTCAGGAATGATGAAGTTTGAACAGGGTCAGCCAGATGGTAAATTAGGTGATCACTGAGGGGTTGCTATTTTAAAGATACGTGTAAAGGATCTCATTGACTGCATATGCAGTACTGATTTAAGTAGGAATTAAAGAAAGACTCAAGATATTGGCTATTTTTCTGGCCTCGTGAAACTTATTAATTCATGTGACAGCTCTTTGGTCATTAACTTTGTATTATATGATTGTTTTTAGGGTAATGCGGGAGAGACAAAAACTAATAGAATGTGATTCAGCATGAGAGATATAGATACATATATTTATACATAGAGAAGAGAGATTGTTGAGTCTGCTCATCTACCCATTCCCAGATATGTCTAACTAATCATATGAATGAGAATTCAATACCTGGAAAACATAATGTGAAATTTCTTCTTCTCACTGAGAAATATGTCTTCAAAATAAGAGCTTCTCACTGAGAAATATGTCTTCAAAATAAGAATTTTGAAGCTCTTAGCTTAAATTTAATTTGACTCAAGCTAGAACCAGATAAAAACAGTTTAAGTTAGCAAGTTATCTTTTTGTCATAAATGATTAAGGATAAAATCTAACTTTAAAATGAGAGCTTTTACTGCATAATAAGATGTGGAACTAAACTTGCCAGTTCATTTTAATTTTTTTTTTTTTTACTTTTGATTGCTTCAAGACTATCTCATCTTCTGTACGGATTACAAGGTCAAAGGCCAAAGACCTGATGGAGCAGACTAAGGTATAGTCCATAGTAGGTAATTATTGCTAAAATGACAAATGGTACTTTTTTTCCCAGAGGAAGTAAATTCACTTTTAATCTAGTATCAGATTCAAACATAATGATTAACTTACTAGAGTTAATAGTAACTCTTATTAGAGTTAATAGTAACCAAAATCATTGTCATTGATTTGGTAGCATAGATGTTATGGATAGCTTCACTTAAAATATTCTTTGCCAAAACATCCATATAACCCAAATTTTGCCTTTGTGTCACACTCTTTTGTCTACTGGGCTTTTTAAAAAAATTATTTCTTATTAAATCATAACTTTGTACATTGATGCATTTATGGGGTTCAGTGTACTGCTTTGATATCCAATGTGAAATGCTTACATTGAACTAAGAAACACATCCATCACAATTATACTCATTTCTTTTTTTTTAATAATTTTTTATTAAATCATAACTTTGTACATTGATGCATTTATAGGGTTCAGGGTACTGCTTCGATATATAATGTGAAATGTGAAATGTTTACATTGAACAAAGTAACACATCCATCACAATTATACTCATTTCTTAATAGTTTTGAAATGTACCATTGCATGATGCACATTAGGTGAAGTCCCCCCGAATACCCTCTGTTCTCTCATATCCCCCCTCCTCTCCTCTCTCTTTCTTCTTCCCTTCTACTTTCTGGACTATAATTATGTTTTGCCATTTATATGAATGTGTAGGTGATTATATATTGATTTCATAGTAGTATTGAGTACATTGGATACTTTTTTTTCCATTCTTGAGATACTTTACTAAGAAGAATATG